CAAAAGCAAATGCCGCATCATCAAATTAAAACAAAAACAACTTGCCATGTACGCAAAAAAATAACATTTTTGCTGATATGGCAGTTGTTTTTGGTTTTCAGAAAACAATTAAAATCATTCACACAAGTGGAACACCCCCTTGGTTACTGAAATATGAATGAAATATAGTGACTGATGTTGAGTTCTTGAAATTAAAAAAAAAAAAAGTGGGAAGAACCCAAACGAAAGTAGGCTAGCCCTTTGCCCATGAATCAGAGATGATGATGAGATATGAACTCGCACTAAGCGCCTATATGGAAAGCACCAAATCTTCTAGAAAAGAAGATGCTAATTTGTTCTGTTTGCAAGAAGAAAAGGGAACCATGATAGGAACAAAACTTGAAAAAGGAAATGCAGAAAGCTAAAGGATGATGGGACCTCAAATGTAGTCCAGTGCAGTGTCCATGTGCTTGAGCTTGAGAAATGACCAACCCATTAATTTAGTTGGAAACAAGGCTTAAAAATATCACAATTTCTGAATCAAAACTGCTTTTGTTTAACAGTAGAAGCATCATTAATAAAAAGGGCAATCCAGTGCATGAGGCTCCAAGATTTGAGCCCTAATCACCCATGTACATACGGAGAAATGATAGATGTACGCAACCTTATCCCTGTATATACGGATAACTGTTTCTAAGATTTGAGCCCTAATCACCCATGTTGCGCTAAGAACTATAAATTCATATCACATTAAACAGGCTTTTTTCCAACATTTTCAAACCGCCGTTGATTCGGACGGTCGGACTGTTTGGTCTGAGAATTGTTCATATAACCAGTTTCGTTTTATCCCAAACCTAGAATCTGGTCAAAAACCATTGACCCGGACAGTCGAATTATCGAGTCGTTCAACAGTTTTTTACCATTTTTTTTATTTTGTTGTCAGAACAGACCGTCCATTCGAACCGGACAATCAGACTGTTAACCCAGAAACCGGTGGCCAAAAGGGTTCCACTAAAACATTGCTTTTTTCTTGTCTAATTCATCAATTATCTGCAAAATTAATTTTTCTATTTACTGCACTTACTCCGGGTGGTCCAGATGGTCCAAGAAAAGACTACAACTACAAATTCAAGATAATTTTACAACTTGGCTAGTTAATTGAAACCACACTTGAGCTATTCAAGAGAGAACTGGTCTCTCTCTCTAGGCAAAAGTTAAAAATTAAAACTCTGAATTTTGTCCTTTCCACAAAATTAGTTTTGTTCAAAAATCAAATACACACTGTTTGATTCTTTGATCCTGACTTCATTACAGGGTCATTGGCGAAGTGGAGCAGTCGAGGAAGGAATGAGAAAGCAGACATGGATAAGAAGTTTGCAACACAAAAGACAAGTCAAAATCATCAACAAGGACGTCATCTCTCTCTTATCTTCAAGTTGGGGACAACCCTTCACACAACGAAAGGTAGTCTGGACATTAAAACAATCCGCCCCAAAGTCAATGCATATTTTACTACTCCATAGTTCATACCTAGACTTGTGCACATTTGCATCAATCTCTAGTCTTTGCACACTTCCACAATTACATAGTCTATCACGATGCCGTAGTGCACTGGCTCACTTTTCTACTTATTCTTCATAAAGAGACTCATTCCACTTTCCACACAACAGATGTCAATGCCTACTACTGTTCTCACTCAGTATTTAACTATTTATAATAAACTCAAATGAGCCATTTTTAAACAAAAGATTGGGATAGAACCAAAGGTTTTAAAATTATTGTTGATCTGGATGGTCCGACCGTTTGGCCCGGAAATCAGTCAGGGTATTGGTTCCGTTTTATTTTTTGTAAAAACTATTGAATAGATCACTGACCCACTGACCTGGGCAGTCCAATCTTCAACTTGTTTCATCTAAATAATGGTTTTTGGCCTTTTTTTTTTTAAAAAAAAAACACCATTGACTAATTCGTTCGAACCAATGGGTTTGAACCACTAACCCTGAAATTGGTGGCCATAGCAGTTCCAATTCCAGAACAGTTTTAAAATAGAACAATTCATTGTCTAGTGATTAGATTAAATTTATTATCTCCCTTAATAATTTTACTAAATTTTAAAAAGAGAAGGATGTCAGTTCTTGACCCTAATTAATAAATGCTTTCACCCTCCTCCATTATTTATTAGCTAAATGCGATGCATATATGTATCTATGTATATATAAACTAGTATAATAAGATTTAGGTTTTCCACACGCAAAAGCAATTTGTCTTCATGCTTGCACATAGCGGCTCTCTGAAAGGCTCCGGGTGTTTGGTCTTAATCATGTCATGTTCATGGATGTAACAAGTATGACTTTTTGAGGGAAATTAATCTCTACTCTCTACTAGAGTATTTAAAATTGCTTCTATAAGTATCCATCTTATGCCCCGTTTGCTTTTCGGCAAGTCACTTACCCGGGTGTAAGTGTTTTCCAGGGAAAGACTTATTCGGGTAACTGCATTTATCCATGTTATTTTATTTCCCATATAAATAAGGCAATGACAATAAACTTTCAACGGTCTCCACATAAACCTGAAAATCCCCCCTCTCAAAATCCAGAAAAAGAATGCCCCCATAAGGGTGTAATTTATATTTTGGTATCAGAGTATTTGGATAGATAATATCATCACCTTACATATAAAAAGCAATAGTGAATAAGGTTCAAAATATGGCAATGTATCAATACACATCTTAAGTATGATTTTTAAATCCACCGAGATGTTATTTACATGGATTTCAGGAGTGTTTTTGTGTTCAAATATAAGAACCATTTCCAACATTCTTCACCCTAAAACATCAGCCTGAAATCCCAGTACTTTGAACCATGATAGTGAGAATAGATCCTTAATATGTATTACAATTTGGAGCTTTGGAGGTGAAGGGATGGCCACCTTAAAATTTATTAGAGGTAGAATTGCTCTTACATGATTGGTGGGTGGGGGAAATCCATTTGGCAAACTTAAGCTTGACAAACCTTTCTGTTTGCTCCTTACATGATAAAGGACTCCATTGATGAACATCTAATCGAGTAGAACATCAGCCTGAAAAAAAAAAAAATTGAAGTCTTCATGCTGGTTACAAATAGGGGTGTCAACGGTATTCGAAAATCCGATTCCGAATTCGAGATTTGACATAATCGAATCAAATTTGAATATCTAATCGGTCAAATTCGGATATGACCTGATTCGATTCGATAAATATCCGAGTTCGACCGATTATTTAATTCTTATATATAATATATAAAATTTGTAAATGTTTTATATAATTTATATATATAATAATTAAATTACATAAATAATTTATATATTTACATACTTTATATAAATAAATATTTATTTTATATATTTATTAATTACCTAAAATAATTAATTAGTCGAATTCAAATTCAAATATTAATTTTCGATATCCATTGGATTTCGAATCAAATTCAAATGTCAAATTTTATAATCAGATTTGAATTCAGATATTGCCTGATCCGTATCGAATTCGATCCATTTACACCCCTAGTTACAAGACTATAAGTGGAGTGCTTGGAAGGTTACTTGCGTCTTTCATGGAACGAGTGAAAATAAACTCTAGATGAAAACCCTTTTTTTGCATTTCTGAGGCTAAATTTTGGGTGATGGGTACACATAACTCCCAAAGCTCGTTTATTTATTGTTGCCTATTCCAGTTAGGTGCTATTAAGTGCCACATAAGACATGAAGCTTAAAACGCTCCCTCGGAGCAAGGAACACAAAAAAGACATTTTCACTTGAAGTTACTTTGACCAAAACAGAGAGAAAAGCCGAGACACAGTTTAAAACAATCCAACCAAACAAAAGGTAACATTAGGTAAGGTTGAAATGCCTACATGATACTGATGTTGAATAAAAGTGCAAACGATTCTTGAGAAAACTGTCACGATACCAAACACCACTCTATAGTATTAGATAGATCCAGGGCCTCATAACTTGCCACTTGTCCCATTTTAGCATCAAGATCCACAATCGCATTGGCCCTATCTTCCATATCAGCTTCCTCAAAAATCATGTAAAAAAGGATTATAACCATCTTGCTTTGTTTCATTTTATTGGAAATTAGAGAAAATTAAGTATCAGATTCACAAGTGTGAAAATGGTGGAATTATCAGTTGTGACTTAAGAAAAAAGTAAGAAACCAGAATGAGTTCATTTCTTTTTCAACCTCAACTTCGTGGGAGGGGAGGCGGCCTTAAATATAAAAAACGTTACATTTTGGAGATTTCACGATTCCTAATTTCCACTAAATAACTTTATGCCAAACATCCTGAAATGACCTCATTTCTATCTTATCTAATGGAAATTTCTCTACTTTAAATAGTAAATTTGGGCCTTCTATATTGACCCAAGGCCAGAATGAGATCATTTCATTTAGGCCTTATTCAAAGTGCCTTGGCTGTTTTTTCTATTGTACCTAGTGGATGAGAAATTATTCTACTGTACTGATCAGTATTCAAAGAAACCAAAACCGTCCAAAGGGTCAAACGGAATTTTTCTTATACCCTAATTTTCTCTGTAGATGAAAATGAGTTTTATGGGGTGACAGGTGAAAGATCAATGGCTCCATGGAAACAATAGTGTCTTATTTCACATATTATTAGCATAACCTTCTTTTCCCAAGCAAACTGATTTTCCTCGAGTAAGACGCTTAGAAAAATTTCTTTGGGAAGATGGTGAATGGGTATGCCTTTAAGACAAAAAGCCTAGTGCCCAACTTGGTACAGAAACCAAAGATTTTACACGCACACAAGCTGATAAAAGCAAGATGGGAACAAATATAACATTGAACCATTAAAGGGTAGTAGAAATACTTCACTTATTGGTGAACTAGACTCTTTTCCAAATGTGTGGAGTGTGTTCTTTGCATCTTGAATTCTTGATTATTGTAGTTCATTTTGTAGAGCAATTTTGTATGAAATGGACTGAAGGTTGGTCAAGGATGGACCATTTGATCTAGAATTTGATTGTTCAAACTTCAAACAAAATGGTATACCTTAAAGATTTCCCAAAAGACCCAATCAATCCAGCTAGATGAAATTTTTATCTAATAGTGGGCTGCCAACATTCAAGCTATATATATATTGCATAAATCACCTGACCTTCCATATATGTGGGTATAAATCAATTTCAGTACCTCCAGCTTGTTGAACGGTGTTCAATTCACTAAACACTAAGGGATGTACAGTTTTTAGACATGATTGCCGGGGCATGTCTATCCCTTGTTTTGTACCAGACCATGCTTGTCAACTGGCTATGCTGAATGTTCAGGAGCCTTTACTACCTCGTAAACAGCTGAAAAATCATGGTCCTCAAAGCCCAGGCTTCTAGCCTTCTTGAATGCCTACATGACAGAAGAAAAAGAAAAAAAATCATGTGTCAATCATCAAGTAGTTTCCATATGGAGACCATTTGTGCAAACCCTTTCTCAGAAACCAGTCATGTAACATCATTTGGGGCAATTTTTTTTATCTTTACAAGGCATATCTACTCTTCCACAATGAAGCAAACTGGCCCCAAAACAGCAAACTCATGTGCTTATATGGGCTGACTGCAATTGACATACATCAAAGTTAATAGTGTCAGAAATAAAATTGTTTATAATATTTTTCCATGCCTGCACGTGCTTAGATTGATCATATGTAAATCTTGAATGATCATAAAAGGCAAACCTAAATGGTTTGCAGAAGATAAGCTCAAGAATTTCAGGATTTATTTAGGGACATTACATAAGTACTCATAACTTCAATTTTTTTGCAGCCCAAAACAATGGAACGTAGTGGCACAGGTGTAAAATATCAACGATATTTGGCGGAATCTCCTCATTTCAATAGGAGCAATACAAACCTTTTTTTTTTTGGAAAAAGGTTAAGGTCCCTGGCTGGGCACAAGCAAATAAAATACATCAAGATTACAGCTCCCAAAGACTTCTAAGCCTCAGCAAAGTCACCAGATTATGTTGCTGAAGACCCTTAGCTCCTCCCCAAGACTTCTATCCAGTGGGTACCTGCTCCGTAAGGGCCATTTTTTTTTTTTTTTGAAAAATGAAGTTTGAGGCAGGAATGGGTTTTTAGGTTTTACAACCCATACAGGTACCAGTAGGGTACTACAATATTATGCTAAATCAGACCCTCCCCAACCCATATATTGAATTTACTAAAATACTCCTAGTGCTTATAAGGCATATGAATTCATGTGAATTTAATAATGTTTTGAATCTTAAGTGAAGGATAATTGATAGTTTATTTTTTTTCTACATGTTTCAATCAAATAATTGGAAATTTGATGTTTATTCATGTTACTTTGCTTGTTTATTGCTTATATATTACAGGAAATTAGATGCAAGTTCTGGACCTGACCCACCCACCTTCAAATGCGGGGAGGGTAGAGTTTTGCGTTTTCATGTGTGGGGAGGGTTTGGATTCAGAAAACCAAACCTGCTGTGGACTTTGGGAAGGGTATTGGTTGGAAGGTTTGGGAAGCTAGGGAGGATCTAGAATTTACAAAACCTGCCCATTGCTATCCCTACATATCTCCGATACATTGTCAATATATCGGAAATATTTCAAATTTCATTGATAAATAATAATTCAAGCTTTAAGATTTCAGAATATCATTGAAATTTCCAATATTTCCTTAAAATCATCAAAATTTTTTAAAAATCTTTTCCTAAAAGAACTAATGGTGATCCTATGATGATTAGACAATTGGCTTACTATGAGAGAGAGAGAGAGAGGAGAAACGACTACATATGAGGATTCACAGAAATAGGGGTCTGGAACGGCATTCCCCTATTTGAGGGAATGGTCATTCCCTCCCCCTCCCTTGGGAATGAAATCCCACTCCAGCTGATTCCAACTCCCATTCCGATTCCTGTCTGAACCAAACAGACTATGGAAACAGACCATTCTGATTCTGACTATGAACCAAACGGACCTTTAATTTCTACCTCCCTTTTTGTTCACACTGATTTAAATCAAGCAAATTTTTAAATCCAACAGACGTTCAAGTACCCATTGATCACACTGGAAACATGTACATGCACCAAATTAAATTTCTAGATAAAGATGAATGAATATTTTTTTGATTTCTTTTGAACGGGGGTAGCCCATCCCCCAACCCAGGTGCAGGCAGAATTCAATCCAAGTCTCCGCTACAACCAGCAGGAGACCTTACCAACCAGCTAGCTAGCACCTTGCAAAGATAATTGAATGTTAAAATGAACTAATGAGTTTTTTTTACTCCAAATATATAATTTAGATGAGTATATTCTTATACAATTTACTTTTGAACATATTTTTAATTTTCTACAAACTTAAGGCCCTTTTCGTGTAGTGTCACTTTAATAACTTAAATCTGTTCTTTTTTTTATGTTATTTGGCATGACCTAATTTTTCAAAATGAAGGTGCATAATATTGAAAATAGTATGTTGTCACGTTCTTATCTTATTTATTATTCAAAGATAAAAAAATGAGGTTATTTCAAAGTAACAAGTTTCCAAATAGTTTTTGTGCCCCTACACCCCCAAAATAAATAAATTAAGTATTATACCTCAAAATAGTCCAAGATATAAATTATTAGCTCTCTATGTAGCATTATACTTAATGATATTAGATATCATAAAAATATCTGAAGTTAAGGGCACTCTCTAAGACAAAGCACATAAAGACTTAGGACCTTAGGATATTCCAACAGATATTTGTAAATGTAGGCAACATTAATTTATCATCATTAATTATGACTTTCAAAAGGCTTTAAGGAGGCTGAAAATGCAAGTGGCAATGCACAATCATGGAATTAGAATTATGATGTAGAGAGTGGAAATAAATAAAGTTTCAGAAAATCAATTTGACCCATTTTTAAAGAAACAAACAATGAATCCAGTCTTACTTGGGTCCTTGGGAAAGAACTGACAAAGGAGAAAAGAGAGAACTTGAGTCCCTGATCCATATTGCTTAGATGTCATATGAAGAGATAAGGGCCTCAAAATTTTTATTTTTTTTTGGGTATTATTTAATAAGGCATTTTGACAAAAATGTTTTGAATCTTTTGACACAAGGGCATACCTAAGAGCAGTATTTAAAGTGAGAGGGAACAATCAATGTAGAAACAATGAGTTTTCAGTATGCCAGAGGTCACCCTTGTTTCAATTATGGATACTTCATACATGAAGACGACATCCCTCTATCTAGGTTGTTTGTGGATGGATGATAGTTTTGATTAACTAGTTACAGATGTCAAAAGAGAATTTACAAATGCAAATCTGAATTCAAGAAAGGATTTCAAAAATCTTAATGTTTTAAATAAGCATAAATATAATTTTTTTATCAATAGCTGAAATTCATCAACTTTATAAAAGAATAATTACAGGATTGGGAGAGGTAAACTGTCTTACCTCTCCACAGCAACTATGCAATTACAAATGAGTAAGCATAAATATAATTCTCCTATAAAGAAATAAAAGTAAAGAAAAAGTTATTATTAATGAAAAGGAAAATACCCAAAATCAATTATTTTTCCCATAGAATTAGAGTGGAGTGGAAGAAGGAAATGCCTATATGTAAGTATTGTTTAATCAATGGATACAGATCAAACTAAAAGAAGAAAATTTTATGTGATAGGTATTAGTTTGGTCATGTTTTATGAAACAAAATGTAGGAAATAAAGAACCAAATTTACTTTAAAATGAATGCAACTATGATCTTTCCAAGTTCCAACTAAATTCAGCTACATGAATCCTGTTCCGCCAAATGATTTTACTCCACCTATTGCTGAAAATTTTCCATTTAAAACCTGAAAATTCTTTCCAAAGGCATACCCATCTGACTATATAGCTAATTTGACTGATTGCTGTAGTCATATAGATTCACTAACGACAAACATATTAATGAAATATAAGACGATACATTTCAAAAGAGGCACAAATGTAGAAATTAAAGATGAAATATTTGTACTCAAGCATAGGAATTTTGTATGTCATTAATTTCTCATTTTGGGTGTTGAAGTTGGATTAGAAGGTTCTTTTCTGGGTCTAAAAGCTCTTTCTTTGCATCCTAATACTTTCATACTATTTATGATATCTCCTTTTTCACTTGCTTTATATTATCACTAGGGTGGGTACGTGACTTATGTTTTCACCTTGGCAAAATCTTGAAAGTGCCTGTCTCTGTTCAGAATTCAGATAAAGATATAGTTGAGAGCATACCTCATTAGATGCAGCGGCTACAGGCATTGATACTGCATTTTCATCCCCAAGGGCAAGGGCCAATCTCATATCCTTCTGCTGATGCTTTAGAGGAAAAGCAGGGGGGTAATTGTTCTGTACCATAGCAGGTCCTTTAAGCTTGAACATTGGATTAGCAATGGCACCAAGGTCCTACAACAGAGGGGGAAATTATAGTTGAATTTAACTTCATGACAACTAAAAATAGCATAGTATCTACTTTCTTACCAATACATCAAGAAGGGTTTGCTGGTCCAGTCCACTTCTGTCAGCCAGGACAAGTCCCTCTGAAAATGCATTCATCATACTGTACAAACCCAAGCACTTAAGTTTTAATAAATGAAACTTTACCATCCAAATCTAAGTACATGTTTATGCACTTGAGTTCCCACATCAGATTTCTTCTAGTCAGATATATCTCTATATCTTTGGTATGCAATAAACAGCACAATTGCACACCACATCAAAATTATCTTTCCACTAAGATATATCTCTCCAACTATACCCTGAAGCATAACCTAGAATAGAAAATAGCTTACTGTAGTAGACACTAGATGACAATATGCTGATGGATGTTGAGAGTGCTTAACTGCAGTAGTTCTGTCCTTACTCAGAATAAGAGTGGTGCAAGAGACAAAGAGTCAAAACTGGAAACTTCTGAATTTTAATGTAATTTTTATGATTTTGGACTGTGGGGGTATTTTGGTCAATTTACATGTTGGTGGAGATGGGTATGGCCTAGTAGTTTGATTTGTCTGTCCATAGCTAGTTTTTTTTTTAAGAAAGTAAAGCAAATTTTATTAGAGTTAGAGTTTTCTTATGATAGTGACAATTCTGTAATTCAAGTGTGTAAAGTGTGAAAGCATGGAGACAGATATTGGAATGATTTTTCAGTTTTTTTTCTTTTTTGCATATTGTGCTTGTGGTGAATGAATCCCAATGCCTTGGAAGTGTTTTAAAAGGTGCATCTACACACAAATGAGGCGCATTTTAAGGCATGTACCTTACCTGAATCCAAGCAATGCCCCGTTTGAAAGGGCACATGCCTGGTGTGTCTTGGCCTAACTGTGACCTTTTATAAGTTTTCTTTTGTTACTTTCAGTACATTATTTATGTTTTTTACACTTTAATTGGTCTATTAACTTATAAATTACTTTTATTGGTGCTTGTGCACTAGTAATGGTCTATCAACTTTTAAAAGAAATAAAAAACAAAGACATTTTGAATACCTAAAGCCTAGTTATTACAGATAGGATATCAAACAGCAAAATTTCCACTAAAAAGGCAATAAAGATATAAATAATTTTTTATCCCTAGCCCCAAAATAGAATAAAAATCAATAAGAAATTCAATGGCAAGCTGCAAAATCATCTCTTGGAATGTCAGAGGTCTTTCCTCAGATTGGCCATTGGTTCCTTTCTGCACAAGTGGCAGCCGGGTATTCATCTTCTTAAGAAACAAAGCTGCAGCAGCCTCGGCTTCCTTATGTTGCAGTATTTGGGGTGGCAAAAGCTTTGACTGGTGCTACAAGTCTGCAACAGGTTTGACAGGTGGCCTTAAGATTATTTGGGACAACATAAAAGCTGCAAAATTTTCACATTGGATTGGTGGCTTCTCAGTTACTGTTGAGTTGTGGTATTGTCACTTCTGTCTATGGCCCTAACAAGAATGCTAAAAGATACTGGCTCTGAGCAGAACTTGATAGCATAAAAAACAAAATGGTCTCTTTCCTGGTATATTGGAGGAGACATCAACATTGTCAGATTTACTTTTTGATAAAAAGGGTGGGTCTAGAATCACCTCCAGCATGCAAGGATTTGCATCTTTTATCAACAATCATGAGCTCCTAGATCTCCTCTTGAAGGGTACCAAGTATATACTTGGACCAATAATTAGGAGGACCCTACCCTTGTTCAGCTTGACTGCTTCCTTATCTCTGCAGACTAGGAGGACCACTTCCCTGCCTCTCATCAAGAAGTCCTCCCTGTCAATGAGCCATTCAACCTAAAAGCTTAAGCTGTTAGATGAGGTCCTGAATAGGTTTCATTCTCTAACATGTCCCTTCACGCAAAGGCCCATTGGGCTTGAAGCGTGGACAAGCACAGCGCCACCTACCTTGTGCTGAAATTTAATTAATTATAATGGCGGCAATGAGGATCGAATGCTAGACCACTTGGTCAAACAGGGTCTAATACCATGTCAAAGAACCATTCAACCTAAAATCTTAGGCTGTTAAGTGAGGTCCCGAATAAGTTTTTGTGCTCTAACACTCCCTAAGCCTCTTTCTGATCATTCACCCATCATTCTGATTGAAGGCTCATTCTTAAGAGCTCCTGGCCCATTCCAATTTGAAAAGCATTGGCTGGAAGATGGCTTTAAAGAAAAAATTAAGAATGGTGGAATTCCTATAATGTTCAAGGCAGTAGCTCCCATATCCTAGCTAAGAAGCTGCAGTTCCCCAAAAGGGATATTAAGACATGGAAGAATTCCAATCTGGTCTCCTTATCAAAACAGAAAGAAGATTGTTTAAAAACTATCCAGGAAATTGACAAAAAAGAAGAGATACGGTGTATTTCCCTTAGGAAAAGCAATCAAGAACCAACATAAAGAATCTTTTTGACTCAATTTCCTACAAGGAGGAAACCAAATGAGGACAGCAGGCCCGCACGCATAACATGGCTGAAAGAGGGAGACAACGACACAGCTTTGTTTCACAAATTAGCTAATGCCATAGCAAGAGCAAATCTGATTTCAAGAATCAGCTGCAATGATAGGCTGGTTGAAGACTTGGGTTCTGTAAAGAACACTGGTGAATTTCTACGAAAACCTTTACAAAGAAGAATCGGCAAAGAGGACCACTCTTGATGGTTTGCAGTTCCAAAAAATCTCCACTATTCAGAAGGCAGCTCTTGGGGCTCCATTTGTAGAAAATGAAGTGCTGGAAGCAATCAAAAGCCTTGATGGTGATAAAGCACCCAGGTGTGGCTTCAGCCTCGACTTTTAGAAGAGCTGTTGGGAGACCATCAAAACAGGTTTGATTCAAGCTCTAGCTAATTTTCATAGCAATGACTCGTTTGAAAGATGTCTAAATAACACCGTGGCTTTAGTACCCGAAAAAAGGGACATAGGAAATCAAAGACTATAGGTCTATAAGCCTTCTGTGCAGTACAAGATCCTTGCCAGGGTTCTGGCCACCAAATTCAAACAGGTGTTCCATAGTACCATTTCTTCCCATCAAGGAGCAATTTTCCTTGACTCTCTTAGAGAGAATGAACTTTGGCAGCAAATGGAGAAGATTGATCAAAGTTTGCATTACTACCCCCACCTATGACATCTTGGTTAATGGGGCTCCAAAAGGTCACTTCAATAGCTCCAGCGGACTAACACAGGGAGACCCCCTCTGCCTCCTTCTATTTATTTGTGGCAGAAGCCTTGGCTACACTAACTAAGAAATCTGTGGAGGGAAGACTCATCTCAGGTTATCAAATATGTAGAAATTTCCCAAGTATTTTGTTGGGATCCTATGCAACTCAAGAACCTCTTTGAGAGGGTACTCTCTCCTCACCATTTTTAGAAGAAGGGAATGAAAAAGCATGCAAGACAACTTAAATATTACTAGCTTCTCCTATTTATAGTTGAATTATATCAAGTTTACATTCAGTTTGAAAGTTACAGAGTCTAACGGTCTTGATTCTCAGGTTGTTGAACTGCTATAACCTCCTGCTGATGTGGCATCTGTTTTTTTGTTATTTTATCAGCACCAGGAAAGAATTTTATTAAATTAGAATAAAAAAAAGCAAATACATCTTTTGGGTAGCCTCGGCTACCCCCACTAAAAGAAAATTGGTATTAAGTTTAGGCACATGAAGAATAGATGATAAGGTCAAGGCATGTGATGTCTTGATCTCCCTTTCCTCTGATAGGGGCAAGAGAGTCATCAGTAAGGGATATTTTGTCTCAACCAGAAAGGAGCTAGTAAGAGATGAACAAGTGTGAAACACTAGTCATGTGGTTAAAGGCACCAGAATCAACTACCCAAGGGATTTTATGAGTACCTGAAAATAGAAGCATGATTTGCAGTGGAATGAATACCCAAGTGTGCATATGCAAAGGAAGGAACTATCTCTGATGAAGTAGATGTTGTAGACTCCAAATGACTGATTATTCGGCCATACTTCTCATATTCAGCCCTAGCAACTGCAAGTTGCTCTCCTACTGACTTCTCACCATTCTGCCCCTGTTCACTCATTGAGGAAGTGGCTACATTTGCATTTCCACCTTTTTCATTCTCAATCATTTTCCATTGTTTTCTTTCTTGAGTCTAGTAGGTATAAGCTCTGGGTGCAGCTTCCAATAGGCGTCTTTAGCATGTTTAGGTTTCTTGTAGTACTCAGAGATAACATCATTCTTCCCAGTGTTGACCTTCGGCTTCATCCCGGCATTAGCATAGTGATCAACTTGTAGCTCTATGTTGAAATAATTTAGTTATTTGTGTTAGGGTCTGTTTGGCTAGTTAAAGCATTTTTTATTTCTGTTATGTCTGTTATTGTACTCACTTACAGCAGGGGCGCAAGGGTCTTTTCCCTTCTTATTTCTGCCACCCTATATAATATAATAAAAGCTGGCGCCACCAGCACTGTTCTATTGCCAATCTCTTCTTCTCTTCTCCCTTCTCTCTTCTTCTCTTCTCTTCTCTTTCTCTTATTTCTGGCCAGCCACACTTTCAAGATGGTATCAGAGCGGGAATACTGACTGAGAGAACATATCGAACAAGCTTCCTTCCTTTTCCAACTTGCTGAATCTGGGCGGAACAGAGATCTGAATCTGGGCTAAAGAAAACAGATCTACAACCGGTACAGTCCTTCCTTTTTTCTCTGCCTTACCCTCCTTGGTCATGTACCAAGTGAAAAAACCAAATGAATCTGGGCTGCTGAATGCTGTCAGACCTTTGTGAGGTTTATATCTCTTGTTTTTTGGGATCGTGTGATCCTGTTCCTGTGTTAAGGTGACTGTAGGTCAAGGATGACCTGTTATCTCAATTTTTTGGCTTGATTATAAGTGTTAAGGATCTCTCCTGCTGATTAATGTTCTTAGAAATTTTGGAAGGCTGGTACGTTGGGACTGTTAAACCGTACAAGTCTGAAATCTGCCAAATCTTGCCTCTTTTTGTCCTGAAATTGGTACTGTTTGTGCTCAGACTGTTTTCAAACCCAAGTGTGTGGGTGTGGACGGAGTACGTGTGTGGAGCAATTTGTTTTGGAGTAAGGAGGGATCCTAACTCTGGTGTTTGGGACTGATTGTCTGTTT